TAGGGTTTAGGGGTTGGGGGTTAGGAGTTTGGGTTTAGGGTTTAGGGGGCCCTTGAATAGAAGCCCCACTGGCAGGGCTCAGACCTAGAAGCAACTAGCGCTTCCGGCATATCATATACCAAACCCTAAATCAGAAAGCAGCCCTGCATTTCTCACAATGTTAATGGAAAAGGCTTCCTCAGCAAGGGAGTCTTTGTGACTCTGGACGGACCTTCAACACCCCGCTGAAAATGCAAACGCTCCAGAAGACGCCGAATGAACCCTTATCAACAAATAAGCCCTGAAGGAACCGCCTAAATTTTACACCCTCAAACCTGAACCTGTGATTAAACCCTAACCCTCCAGGTATCTACTATATAAACCATAAACCCTAAACCCTATATAGTCCCTAAACCCTATAAACCCTCAACCCTATATAGTCCCTAAACCCCATATAGCCCCTAAACCCTATAAACCCTAAACCCTCTATAGCCCCTAAACCCCAAACCCTCTATTAGTCTATAGTCCCTAAACCCTAAACCCTATATAGCCCCTAAACCCTATAAACCCTAAACCCTATATAGCCCCTAGACCCTATACACCGTTAACCCTCTATAGCCCCTAAACCCTGAACCCTATATAGCCTCTAAACCCTATAAACCCTAAACCGTCTATCGTCCCTAAACCCTAAACCCTCTATAGCCCCAAAACCCTATAAACCCTAAACCCGTAAAATCGCCCCTAAACCCTATAAACCCTAAACCCTCTATAGTCCCTGAACCCTAAACCCTCTCTAGCCCCTAAGCCCTATAAACCCTAAACTCTATATAGCAGGTACCCTGGGGGGGCGCTAGGGAAATGGCTCCCAGGTACCAGAATGCCTCGTCGCCGTTGCGGTCCTTGGGCCCGGAGTCGCCCTCGCCGAAGGCCAGGGTTTAGGATCTCGGGTTTGAGGGTTTAGGGTTTTAGGGTTTAGGGTTTGAGGGTTTCGGGTTTGAGGGTTTCGGGTTTAGGGTTTTAGGATTTAGGGTTTAGGGTTTGGGATTGCATTTATGAGTCAGGGTACACACAACAGGTGGCCCTGCCCCACAACCAGATAGAAATCTCCGCATGGCAACCTCGGGCCCTTTGCCAGCAAAGATCCAGGACAATGCAGCACCGTCCACATGCTCCTAAACCCTAAACCGTAAAAACCCAAAGCCCTAAAGGACATCCATGGCTGGGGCGCTTGCAAACCTTACTTAAAGTCTGGTTATAAGTTATAAGTACCTTAATTGGGGTTATAAGTAGTTATAGGCATAGTTATCCTNNCCCATGATCCTTTAAGTAAGCCTCAAGCCTACGGTCCGCAGGCCGCACTCGCTCAAAGCACATGCACTCCCCACCACAACTCGATACCAGCAAAAGCAACATACACCAGCCACCCAAGCAACTAGCAGCAACCCAAGCCCTAAGTACGACACCGTACTGTAGACCCCAAATACGAAGCCTCGTACCCTCAAGCCTAAACCTTATCCCCCAATCCTAAACATCCTAAACTAAACCCTAAACCCGAAACCCGAAACCCGAAACCCTAAACCCTAAACCCTTAACCCCTAAACCCTAAACCCTTAACCCTAACCCCCCCCCCCCCCCCCCCCCC